TCGGTCCTTCAAGGCCTAAATTATGTTCTAGTATTTTTGGGAAGAAGGCTTTCTAGACTTTCCCAATTACTTGTGGCCGAGGACACGTGCATGTTATCAGGCCCTCTTTCGTGGCAGTAGTCGTAGTAGGACCTGGAGAGCTGGCTTGCTCTTTTTAGATATTGTATTGGGCAGTGCCCTCCCTGTGGGCAGGCAGGCTGACTTCTCTCTCTGTCCCTGATGCACCAGGCAGGCATAGTGTAAGGCACAAAGGAGATGGTCCCCAGTTGACAGTAGGATTAGTTTAGGAATGTCACGCATTACTTTGCCATTACTTACCTTTGTTGAAAGTCACGTTTGTAATGTAAGGTTTACTGGATCAAGCACCACGGTGTGTGTGTGTTTTATTTTTTAAACATTTTATTTATTTATTTTAGGGAGAAAGTGCGAGCACGAGTGGGGGAGGGGCAGAGGGAGAGAGAATCTCAAGCCAACTCCGTGCTGAGCACAGAGACAGATGCTGGGCTCAATCTCACAACCCCGAGATCATGACCTGAGCCGAAACCAAGAGTCGGACGCATAACCGACTGAGCCACCCAGGCGCCCCCTGTGTGTGTGTTTTAGAAGAGAGAGTGAGAGAAATTAGGGTTAACATTTCTAATACCTATAAAACAAGACTATGCTGTGTGGAGCCAAGGCTAACTGCCAGTTAAGTTATATCAGTGATTGTTGGTACCCTAAGCTCCCAGTCCTTAATAAAGGAATTCTGCATTTTAGGACCAAAGTTCAAATCCAAGGCTCTGGACTACATGGATTCACCCCATTTGGAGAGCCATGCTGTAGAAATACGTATAAATCCTGTTCAGGATGTTCTGTCAAGGTCACTGACAAAAATCCATTCGGAACCTAGTTGATTTGCCCAAAATACGTACAACCCCAAGTGCCAAAAAGATACTCCTAAATCATTTGGAATGTCATACTTGTTTCCATAGGCATATTTTAATTCTGGGAAGATTTAGAATTGAAAAATAGAAGATTTTAATAATCAAAGCCACAGTGTTAATATTTGACTTAGAGGTTCTACACATATTTGATGTTTTTAAGTAATTATTTAAAATAATTTGGCCCATGCAACAGGTCAGCCTGTTTTCCCAAGTTAAAATGTGCAGTGAAGTAATTGATTTAGACTTGATTTTTGGGAGGGTTGAAGTCTTACTAGATTCATAAACAGTATTAGAGTATTTAAGATAATTTATTAGGTTTCTTTTTTTTTTAAAAGATTTTATTTATTTATTTGACAGAGAGAGAGAGACAGCGAGAGAGGGAACACAAGCAGGGGGAGCGGGAGAGGGAGAAGCAGGCTTCCCGCCAAGCAGGGAGCCCGATGCGGGGCTCGATCCCAGGACCCCGGGATCACGACCTGAGCCGAAGGCAGACGCTCAACGACTGAGCCACCCAGGCGCCCCAGTTTATTAGGTTTCTAAGAGTTTTTTAAGGAAGGTTTTAGAAGTTAGGTCAAACAGTTCTAGTAATTAAAAGAATTAAATATATTCTAAATTAAATACGGAATTTTAAATGTTTAAAGGACCAGACATTATTTGAATGGCCCTTTGAAAGCAATTATAGAGGCACCTGGGTGGCTCAGTCGTTAAGCATCTGCCTTCGGCTCAGGTCATGATCCCAGGGTCTTGGGATCGAGCCCCTACATTGGGCTCCCTGCTTTGCAGGAAAACCTGCTTCTCCCTCTCCCACTCCCCCTGCTTGTGTTCCCTCTCTCACTGTATCTCTCTCTGTCAAATAAATAAAATCTTTAAATAAATAAATAAAACCCCTTTCAAAACAAGAGAGTGATTATAAAAATTATAGGATATATAAATTGAGGATGAACTAGGGTGTTTAAATTTGTTTTTTAAATAAATGAATAAGGGTGCCTGGGTGGCTGAGTCAGTTAAACATCTTCCTTAAGCTCAGGTCATGATTCCAGCGTCCTGGGATCGAGTCCCATGTCAGGCTCCCTGCTCAGCGGGAGCTGCTCCTCCCCTGGCTCATGTGCATTTCTCTCTCTCTTGCTCACTCTCTTTCTCTCTCAAATAAATAAAATCTTAAATACATACATACATACCTACGTACGTACATATACACACACACATTTTTAAAAACCAGGTAAGTCCAAATAGTGTTTCTGTATACAGAGCTGCCCTCATGGTGATTAGAAAATTCACATGAAATAAAGTGATTAACAAACACTGTTCAGATCAGGTAGATACTCAGAGTTAGTTGAATTTGAATTTACAGTTGGAATCAGCGGTATTCCTTATGGAGGCAAGAAATACAGAAACCTCAAGTTAATTACCCTTCATGCCTTCAAACATGGTAGGAAAGAAAGAACACAGGGTTCTGAAAGGTGATCTTACGTTAAGAACGGGAAACAAGAGTCACAAGTTTCGGTGAAATGGTGGCTATGACGTAGTGCTCCGCATGAGTTAGCTGTTCAGTGAGGGCCTGTTGTAGACGTAATAATTTTCAGACGTGCTTTAATCAGAGTTTGCCTTGACACTGTTTAATTCCAAGGGGTGTCATCTGCATGGACCCCCAGGTGGTGTACAGTCAGATGTGGCTGCCTTGGGTGTTGATCTCACCATTCCACCCAGTGCCGTAAGGAATCAGCTCTAGAGGTTGTGTGTCACGCACATCACACAACTTCATCTCCTTTCACGGAAAAAGAGTAGGGGGCCAGGGGACGTTTTTGCTATCTGGACAAGGTTTGGATGAAATTGCACATAATACTGAACCCCGGATTTATTTCATGCTGGCCACTCAGACAGCCCTGAACAGGACGCACAGGGAGGCCCTGAGTTTGGAGGATGCTTGGCTCGCCTGCAGACATTGTCATTTAGGTCTGGCTTCTGGTAATTAGGCACTCCTGGCCGAACTCTGCTGTCAGCACGCCTTTGAGACAAATTGCAAAATCTGTACAACCATCTGAGAGATAGAGAAGTAGACCCCAATGACACTAGAGGGGATATTGGTAGTTCTCAAAAGTTTGAGAGAGAATGCTTAGAGAAGCAGTTCTTTAACCTGAATTTAGAGGTCCTTTTCCTGTGGTGAAAGGGTAAGTTCAGACAAGCATCAGGATCTGAGAGGATCCTGACAGGCTGCAGGGATAGGCTTAATCTAACGGGATGAAATGCAATTGGAAATAAATGTAAGGTTCTGTATTTGGATCAGAAAAATCCCAACTATGCGTGAAAAGACTGGGTGAAGAGGTAGGGATATATCTGAGGAGTAATCTACATGAAAAAGACCTCTAGGAGTTCAAATGACATAAATGTGACAGTTTATTGTGGTTCCCCAAAATCAAATGCAGCATTAGGCTGCATTAACAGAGGTAGAGTATTTAGGATGAGGGAGGTGATAGACTTCTGCTGTGGACTTGTCATAGGAGGAGCACCACTGTAGTTCTGGGCTCCAGGCTATGAAAGGAAACGAGACAAAGGATGGTCCCTGGATGGATATGGTAGTGTTCCAAAGCTGTCACAGGTAACAGAGGAACAGAAGAGGTTTGGCCTGGGTACAACTCCAGGAGGAACTGAAAGCTGTCATTAGTATCTGAAAGTCAGTCATGTGCATAGCCCTGTTCTTGTTAAGAGGAACAAGGAGAATCTGGGGATAAAAGTTATAAGAAGCCCCAAATAAGAAGGGTCTTTTTTTCCCCCTTAAATATGTTTTAAGGTAAGATGGACTGCCTCCTTAATTCTAGAAGTACTTGGTTAGGCTTCTAAGAATTGAGGCTTCTAGTGGTGGGAGCAGATGATCCGGAAGAACTTCCCAGCCCCAGGATTCATGATTCCTCCGCCTTCCAGTGGTGACCCTGTCCTGCGTGGTCCTAACACAGGCAGGCAGCGGACAGAGCCATGATGACAGGAACCATCTGGGCAGTGCTGAGGGAGCCTTTAGAACCCTCCGACAAGATTTCCACGCTCTTGGGTTGGTCATCATTCGTGCGGCCAGTTCTTTACTCTTCCAGGGTAGATCGGGGGTGGGGGGTGGTAGGGGTTGGTCCCTATCTTTCACCAGAGGCTCTGTTTTTTCCTCATTGGTTCTTTCCACGTGCCCAGCAGTGTGCTGGGTACTGGGGAGGCTTTGGGGCGAAGGACAAAACTCTTGCCATCTTCAGGTATGCAGCCTTTTCTGGGAAGTAAGACAGCACAAACAAACCCTACAGCGAGCCTTGCAGTTAATGATTGTAGAGTAACTGCACGAGTGGGTTCTTATTAGTGTAGTAGTAGTGATGCATACCCCACTTAGCTCCAGGGACACCTTTTCCCATCACATTCCCATCTTCGAAGTCAGATGATCTGTTTGAGACCTCTCAGTCTCCTAGTAGGCTAGGGGCACGGGAGTATATGTTTGTGTATACTTGTGTGTCATTTTCTTTCCCTTACAGGTTATAAAGTTTTAAGGAGGTTAAGTCATATTTTTTTTCTTTTTCATGAACATGATCTTACGTAGAGTTAGTTCCTAGCACAGTGACTACCTGTAGGGAATGTCTGCTTTCATACTGTTAATCTCCGTCTCATGGTAGGAGCAGTTCGTTCTGCAGTGGCCATACTGACTCTAAGTGGAGTTAGCTAGAAGCCTGCGTGAGGGGGGGCGGGCATGAAAACTTAGACGGGAACAGAAATGGGTTTGTGGATTCCCACTGCGCATCCTGTGTTTGTTGCTCATATATGTTAGGTGCGAGCATGTAAAGAAACAAGAAGGCACATTTCTATCCTCAGTTGTTAATCATAGTTCATCATTAAATGCCCTTCATGCTAAATTTCCTCTAGTAAATATTACTGCAAACAATTGTACTGTTTTATTTTTCTAGCATTAGTGAGTGTACAGCTCCAGCTTAAAAAGTCTTGATTCAAAATTCTTGGCTTTCAGAGGCTGTTTTTTGGGTTTTTTGTTTGTTTGTTTTTGTGTGTGTGTTTTTTAAGGTAACCCATCTTATTGTAAATTCTTTTTTCTTTCAGGTAGGAATGAATTGATAGCCAGATACATCAAACTCAGGACAGGCAAGACGAGGACCAGAAAACAGGTAAACTGACCGGCCTGGACACTGTGCATGTCAGCGAATGGCCCCAACGAGGCATTTTGGCTGCAGTGGCTGTCTGTGCTTTGGCTCCTAGGAGCCCCCAATTTGAGTTCCCTGTAAGGACATCAGTGTTGTAGGTGTTTTCAATTGGCTCAGTTTTCACTGTTCATCATTTCAGTGACCCCTCGCTGTGTGGTCTACGGAGTCCTTTTCATACCCAGCAGGGAAAGCATCACCACGAAGGACAGTGTAAGCACTGCTCCTGTACCATATTTTAATACCTCTAGTTCTTTCCCAAACTGCGCATCTGTAAACACTGCAAAAGCTGCAGGTGCAAATACGCTCAGAAGTCGTGAAACTTGGAGATTTTGCGCATTGTAAAATCCTGGAACCATTACCCATGAGTCATCATTTCGATGAAACAGTAACCCCAGCAGCCGTGAGTCTTGGCCTGAACATAATACTGAATGGTGTGCGTCCAGGGAATGATTGCTCCTTCAGCTACGGCTTTTTGTCAGTAGCTGCCGTGACGGAAATGAAGTTGCAACTTAAATACGTTTGTGCAGAGCAGTGTTAGGAATTTTGCTCTGCCCTTTGTCAGGGCTCTGGCTCTCCTTGTTCCTTCTGATGCAAAGCAGCCCAAACCCCTGACCCAGTTCAGAACTGGAAGGGATGAGAAATTCATGTTTAACGAAAAACAGAAAAAGAAGGAAAGGAAAAGCGGGAGGGGGGGAATCAAATCAACCTCGTGGGTGAGTTGTTAACAGAACAAAATTATTTTTTAATGTTGACCTATGCAGATCTATCTGGCATGGATTTTTAAAAAACTATCATCATACCAAAAGGCGAGCTCAACTGTGGTCTCTTTAAGTGTGAGCAGCAGATTCCAGTTCTCTGCTCCGTGATGAGTTGTTTTCATGAGTGTTTATGGCGGGGAGAGCTTTTCCCCAGGAATGCTTACATGTGCCCCCGCCAGGAGCCTGGCTGCTGAGTCAGCACAGAGGGCCATGGCCTCCTGCCAGTACGCAGAGGCGGGGCATTGTCTGTTCAGTGGATGTCCCCCCCCCCCCCAACAGTGGACAGTGGCCCTCTGCAAGTCAGAGAATCACCTAAGAACAAAACTCGGGTGAGAACAAGTAAAACCAGGAGCCGGATGGAGGGGTGAAGAGGATGGGGGAGTTCCTGCTTCTCCGTATTTAAAAAAAAAAAAGAAGGCAAATTGGAAAAAAAAATTAATCATTGAAACTCAATGATAAAAGGATCTTTTATTACCCTAAATCCTGCTTTTAGAGTCAGTATTTGAAATGAAATAACCACCTCTCAGTCTGAGTCGCTGAACTTTTAAATGGAAGGTTCTAAATTTCTGAAACAGACAGATCTAATTCCCAACATGCGGAAAGCCCTGGACCTGAGCTGTGTGCTGGTCTAGGAGCTCTGGTCATGTGCCCAACCCCTTCACTGGGGGACTCTTCTAAATTTAACCAAGTCCCGCTGAAAGAGATGCAAATTTGTTTACCCAGTGGAATCATTGTGTTTCAGAAGCTGGGCTTGGCTGGCTTTCCACACCCCGGCATCCTGGGGATGTTTTTAGGCAGCAGTTGGTGATACCTCTCCAATGTGAATTTGTTGTTCAGCAAATCGTGTGGTTTTCAACCCAGATTTTTAACAGGATGGCTGGCTGGCTGTATTCACACTTTTCGCTTTGTAATAATATGCAAATCCACTTGGCACCCAGTCAATATCCAAAAGAGTGGAAGGATTAAAGATATTTATAAGGGCAAAAAAAAAAAATTGCTCTGCTAACTGGGTCTTTCCATTTCTCTTTGAGATCTAATTTACATGTCAGTATTATTTTAACATTTGCTACAGAATCCAGAGCTCTTAATGAGATCAGAATATAACCGACAGCTTCAGCTTTTTGATTCTGCAGAATGTGCTAATTTATGGATAGTCTCTTCTAAATTGAGAAGGGATTTTCCCTCCTGATACTGAGAAGCTGTAAATATTTTCATTTACCTCTAGCCCCACCTTTTAAATTTCAGAAAGAAAACAACCCCACTCTCTCCCTCTCATCCCGTGCCCGTGATTTCTCCCTGATGAGAAAACTAAGAGCAGCCTAACTTTCATCCTGAATCAAGTCACTGCAGTGATGACCCAGTCTGAAAAGCTTAGAGCAGCGCTGGGGGCTTGGTGTCTGGCTGGGACTGTGTATTCCTAACTGCAGAGCTTTGTTGAGATGCAAATAACCTCCCCCCCACCCCCCACCCCAAAACCCTCCCAAGGAGTAGCGATTTTATATTTGATTTCCTTTTTTTGTTTTGTTTTGTTTTGTTTTGTTTCCCCTCATAAACCCGAACAATGTAGGTGTCTAGTCATATACAGGTCTTAGCAAGAAAGAAAGTTCGAGAAATTCAAGCCGCCATTAAGGTACGTCTGGCTTGCCCAGTTGTAGGGGGCTTTTCATCTCCATGGTTACAGGCTTTTCCTTTGTTTTCCTCCCTTCCCCTACCCTGCAGGTGTCTAGTCACATTCAGGTTCTTGCCAGAAGGAAATCTCGTGATTTTCATTCCAAGCTAAAGGTATGCGCTTTCCTGCTTTTTGGCTTGTGGTTGCTATGCATCTCACTTCCTGTTTTCCATGGTGACTGGTGAATGCCTGGTGCTGGGATTCTCGTAACCTAGTTTCCTCGCATGTGAGAGCTGTTTACATTTCTTTGTGTCTAATCTCTCTTTCTGTACTAGCCTCACATTAAGCTCAGATGTGTGTGTGTGTGTGTATGTGTGTGTCCCTAATAACAATGCAAATGCAGCAGAGAGCTGGTCTTGATAACTTTTCAGCACAGAAACATGATTTTTTTTTAACCTTCAAACGTCCACCAAACAGCCCTGGGCTAGGAGAGGGGAAAAACAGTCCAGAGACACAAAGTAAGTGTAGAAATAGTAAATAAATAAAATAAAATAAGAATCACTTCCAGAGTAGTTATCATGAAATTACTTTAAAAGAATATTTAGAAGTTGTTTTACGCTTTTTATGTATTTTAAAGAATACTTACGAAAACACGTCTTTTTCACTTAATTTTTCGAAAAGTGTGTTCTGTAAGCACAGAGAGTATTTTCTTCCAGATTTCTTCCACATTGCTCAGTATTGTTTTTTAAGTGTACAGCTCTGTTATTAAAAAAAGAAATTTGAAGTGAGGCCTTAAAAAAAAGATCATAGAGATGGGAAAGCTCTTAATCAAATCCATGTTTGCAATTCCGTTTATACGTGAGTTTACTTTAATTGTTCTTTACAGGTGTCTCATTTTCCAGTCTCTGAAAATATATTTCACAGCAAAAATGGAGGCACTGACAGTTTTTAAATGCAAGTTCTCCTTATTTTCTCCCCTTCCAAAATTTGCAGTAAAACATACATGACTTTTTTTTTTTCCCATAATGCCAGATTTTAGAAATGCAGAGGGATTATAGTTTGCCCAGAAGAGCTTTGCTTTATAGTAAAAATGAGTTTGGAGCCCATATTGTTGCCTTTCCCACCTGCCTTTTTTGTTGTTGTTCTGTTCCAATTTTTTCCATACATTCATTAAATTTGTTTTTGTACTAAACCTAAAGAACAAAGTGTGATTTCACAGCACTGAATGGTGAACACTGGGATCCTACCCAAAGGCCTCCAACTTTTTTTTTTTTTTTACGCAAACAAGGCTGGCTGTGGAACAGGACTAGTGCCCAGGAAGGAGCATTTGGTGGCCCTCTGCAGTGGGCAGCATGCTGGCTCGCTCGCACGTGTGGCTGATGGTGGCTGGCTTTTAGCTGCACGGGCTGAGCAGTTGGAGGACTAAGATAACTTCATAGATCCTGCTTTTTAACCAAAGGTGCCGTCCTCTCTATGCGGATGTAACTACCCCAGTGTTTGCTCAAGTTCTGATTCTGTTTCTGGTTTCTCTGCGCTAACGAATTAATGATGTACAAAAGAAGTTTACAGACATCAGCTGTGTGTTTCCATCTGCGATGTTATGAATTGCTCTTATTTCTGTACCATCCGTGTGGTTCCTACCGTCTCACCGGGGCACACAGCCCTGGACCAGAATCCCTGTGCATGGTGAATAAAGTTCTCCTGTCCAGAAGGGATTCCCCATGGGATGCAGGAAGTGCTCTTTTTCTCATTTGGGAATTTGAAGAGTCTTCCTCATTGGAAACAGTTCACCATTACTTTATACATACATGTACACACAAACACACGGTTGTATTTATGTTTGTTCTTACAAAATAAGAAAAGGTGACGTCCCCCCTCCTTTCAGCCGTGGCCCACTCGCCTTGGGAGCCGACCTAAGGAGGCGGGAACAGAGGCAATAGGGTAGCAACCGGCTCAGCCCCAAGAACCACCTCCATCTTCTTGCAGTTACTTGCCTTCCTCCCTGCCACATTATTCTTGGAAGAAGGGACGCCTTTGTTCTTCCCATCAGCTAATACCATTTGAGCGCTCCAGGCATGGTGTTCATCATGGTGGGCATTTAAGCAGTCAACCCCCTATTCACAGAGCTGGCCGTGGAGATGGGAATGGGAACTATAGGGCACCGTGGGATAAGTGTTAGCGGAAAGAGCCAAGAGCAAACGTGGAGGGAATCCCAGGACACGCTGCCTGGTGATGGGGATGCAGAGACAGGAGTTAGTGTGCTGCAGGGCCTCTTGGAGGTTCTTTCCATTGAGCTCACTGCCAAGGAAGTTCCATTATTCAGAGTTTGGGGAATAACAGTGAGGAAACCAGGGCTCCAGGAGTTTAATGGATGTGCCCAGAGCCCCCAAGCCTAGCACACGTCACTGTCAGGATTTGAACTCAGATCTTTCTGAATCTTAAACCACTGCTCTCTCAGGCGGGGTTGCATCCAGTGGAGGTGGGAGAAGGTTATCAAGCAGAAGGCCTCACGCCGGCACACCCCGTGTCACCCCTCACATCCCTTGTAGCTGGGCGTGCAGCTCTTGCCACCGACCCTTTCCTCAGCGCTCACATTTTAGAAGCAAGGTGAATTTTTAACACCGAGCCCTTGGTCCACGTGTGGGCTTCATGTGTGACTGACCCTGTGGTGATCATCCGTAACTTGGGGCCGTGAGGTCCTAGCCACAGAGCTGCTGTGTCACCACTCAGAGGACATCAGGACAGTCCAGGAGCACGAGACTGGCTGTCACCTACCTGCAGAGATGTTGCCGCCTTCGCCTCCCCTGGGCACTTGACGTTAGCGATGCCTTCCTTAACCTTCCTAACCAGCCATCACCGGGAAGTGGTCTTGTAGGAGAGGTCGATCTCACCGGTTTCTCTGTGCTCTCCCATTCAGCTCTGGAGTCTAACAAAAGCACATTTGTGGGAGGCAGGGATAAGCCTCCCGGCTGAGTTCGTTGTGGGGTCAGGCTGATAGCCACATCGTCTTGGTCTCCCACATGAACTAACAAGATAAAGCCACTACAGAAGGTTGAAGTCATCCCAGCAGACAAGAAGGATAGCTTCTGGGTGGGGGGTAGGGGGTGGCAGGAAGTATCCAGACTTAACAGAGATGTTGTGCCCTGCCTGAGAAGATGTAGCAAGGCCTTCTGGAAGGAAGGTGGCTGTCCACTGGCCACTTCAGGACCTGTGCCTGCCTGCTGGCCTTAGCCCGCCGCTGGGCACTTTTCCATAATGTTTACAAGTCAAGGATTTGTATTCTCTGGGGGTGGATAAAGGCCTGTAGCCCTCCTTTGAAGAATGAAGCCAAGCTTCATCCTCCTGTCCTCCCTCAGAGTTGGAAAAAGTAGTTTGCTCACCTGTGCTAGGTGTGGCTTCCCTGTGAGCCCTGTTGCCTGTAATCCTCCCTCCTTCCCGGGGAAGGGTGTGCTAGAATTCTTGAGGCTGGTCGCTTTCCAGCCTTTTTTAAGCCACAAACTCATTTTTCAGATTGAAATCTTAGTCAAAACATTTAATATATAAATGAGTAAACGCTGTTTGTTTGTTTGTTTTTAAAGATTTATTTATTGGGTAGAGCAGGAGCGGCAAGGGGAGAGGGAGAGAGAAATCTGAAGCCGATTTCCATCTGAACGTGGAGCCTGGCACAGGGCTCGATTACACCACCCTGAGATCAGGACCTGAGCCAAAACCAAGAGTCAGACATCTAACCCACTGTGCCACCCAGACACCCCTAAATGAGTAAACGCTGTTTTAATTGAAGCTTGTGCTCTTTTATCCTTAGTAATGGCCTCTTTGGCTGTTTCACTGAATAAGGTTTGAAAACCCCCCTGCTTTAGGGCCAAGGGAGAAGGAGGTAACTTCCTCAGCTGTCCCTGCAGCCTTTTCAGGACGGCATGTGCTCTGCGTCGTGCTCCACCATATTCCTCTGAAGCAAACAGAGTCACGAAGACAGTGGTCATTCTCATGTCACAGTTGAGGAATCATCCTAGCTACGAAAGTCAAGCTCTTGAAAATCTGTTAAAATAAGTTCCAAAGTCAGCTTTATGCTTCTGCTAATTGCAGAAATGGTTCTCAGAGTGCTTGTTTGTGAGCCAGATCGCCCCAAAATGTGTGGGCTTTAATTTTAACTTTTTTTTTTTTTAAAAGATTTTATTTGAGAGAGAGAGAGAGAGAGAGCACACAGAAGGAGAGGGAGAAGCAGGCTCCTCACTGAGCAGGGAGCCCGATGTGGGACTCGATCCCAGGACCCTGAGATCATGACCTGAGCTGAAGGCAGACACTTAACCAGCTGCGCCACCCAGGTGCCCCTAATTTTAACCTTTGTAACAAAATTTGTTTTGGGGGAAGTTTAAGATTTCCACAAAGATTTGAACTTTATAAAGCACAGAAATGATTAATTCAGTCCAGCAGACTTTTCATTGAGAATCCATTGTGTTCTAGACCCTCAAGTAGATGTTGGGCATAGAGAGTCAAATAAGCAGAGTCTCTTTTCTTGAGGACGACTAAACTTTTCTGTTGTTTTTGGCCACATTTGGGGAAATACTAGATTTCCAGTAGATTGTCCCGCAGTTAGGGGAGTCTGCAGTGGAACAGAGTGGTGAAAAGAGTGGGCGGTTTTGAGTGTGGGAGAATTAAGGAAAGCCTCATTGGAGGAGGTGCCATTAGAACTGGGCATTGAGGAAGGCAGACAGTTTCCCCTGAGATATGGGGGTGTTTGGGGAATCACAAAGAACACCATTACTTGGAGGCATGAAATGGGAATGAGCCTGGAGGAGCCCAACAGGAAGGTCCCAGATCATCTGTGGGAGAGTGAGGCTCACCTCTGGGCCATGGGGAACCTGTGGGGAGCACTCACATGTAAGCTTTGGAAGACAGTGGTCTCTCCCGTTGTTTTCAGAAGAATGGCCAGGAGGGAAGCAGAGCTGGAGGCAGGGGGCCTAATTCAGGGGCTGCTGTAGTCTGAGAGAGAGAGAGAGAGGTGAGGGCTTGGACCAGGCAGCCACACCCCCCTGGGGCCCATCTCTGTGGTTCACATCAGCGCTCCCCGCCGTCTGCGGCTGGTTCCCGTTCCAGTCCACTCTGACTGCTGTGAACTCTTCCTTCCTCAATGTTTTTAAAGAGTAGATTATGTTTAAAACTCCAGTCCTTACTA